TAATCACCCCGGGGACAGACAGCCAAGATCAGTGAGTAGATGAGAATGATCCTTTTATGTTTCTTTTTAGGTTAGGCTGGTTAGGCAGAACAGTGGACATAAATGAGTAAATAGTTGTACTCTAATTTGCAAGGGCAGGTCGGCCGTTAGAGCTACCCTTTAAAAGAGCTCATCTTTAGAGCAAGCAGACTGCTTAAAAGATTTGGAGGAAGCAAGAAGAGATTTTGCTATGTGGTTCTTTGTCCATTTAGCCTTGTTCCACAGTCTATCTAGTATTAGGAAAAACATAGAAATGCTGTGTGTGAGTACTGTTAATACAAATTACTCGTCATCAGGCCATTCTTATTTAGATGGCCACATAGATCTTTTTACCAAAATGAGCCAACTGATGCTCACAGTGGTGCCCGAACTTTAGCATGCATCAGAATCACCTGGAGAGCTCGTTAAAAACATTGGGGCGCCTGGGTGGCTCAGTCAGTTGGGCGTCAGACTTCAGCTCAGGTCATGATCTCACAGCTTGTGAGTCTGAGCCCCACGTCGGGCTCTGTGCTGACAGCTCAGAGTATGGAGCCTTCAGATGCTGTGTCTCCTCTCTATGCCCCTCCCCTGCTTGGGCTCTCTCTCTCTCTCTCTCTCTCTCTCAAGAATAAATAAAACATTAAAAAAAAAAAGTTTAAAAAAGATTGCTAAGCCCTCCCCTGCCAAAGTGTTTGATTCAGCTCAGGGGATAGGAACTGATAATTTGCATTTCTAGTAATCCCCAGGTGATGCTAATGCTGAGTTGTAAAAATAGTAGCGTCCAGATGTATTATTAGCACCTCAGGAAATACACAGACACTTATTAGCCGATACTGTGCCCTGATGATACAGGATAGAGGGCCAAATATCAGCAATTCTTGGTCAGGGAAGACAGAGTAAATGCAGACATAATCTGATTGCTTTCAAACTTCCACTTCCTGAACCTTCGTCTGAGTTGCTAAAAAGCAACTTCCTTTGCTTCGTTTTCCATCCTTTAGTTTCCACCCACCTCTGACGGCAGATAGTTCTGGTTGACTGCACAATGTCTGATATGGAATCACAAGTGCCTACTCATTGGCAAGTGGCAAGACTGGCCAGTGTCATGGAGACATTCTGAGCACGGGGGTGTGGGCGGGTCTCTGAGTTGTGTGATAACCTCCCAGATCATTAGGGTCCTCTGTGTAGTCCCTACCCCACGCTTGTGCCGTCATCACCGGCAGGCTCGCACCCACGATTTCAGGAGAATTGAGGAGCAGCTCCACCGTCGGAGGACCTTGGGATCCCGACTGTCCGCAGGGAGCTGGTAAATCTTTGGCACAGCACGGGACCCAAGCACCTCTGGCCGGGGTTCCTCCAGGCTGATTTCTCCACCTGCGGCAGGTGCGCAGCTCTGAACGGTTTGCTCAGACCTTTCTGGTGCCGCCTGTTCCCCTGACCGCCTGCAGACTGCTTGGGGACAGCGGCTGTCTGCCAGTGAAAAGCCACGACCAACCGTGCTTCATACTGTAATTGAGTGGAGACAGGATGTACCTCCTTGGCGTACCATGCCGGCACGACTCCATTCCATATTAGGAAAAACAGAGACTTGGCCTTTTTCTTTTTTATAAAAAATTTATTGAGATGATGCAATTATAGGCTTTTCCTTAAAAATTATTTGCAACTCACTGGCCCTGAGAAAAGGCATTTGTTTTTTGTTTTTTTTTTCTTTTTTTTTCTGTTACATTCATTTGATTCAGTCCCTTATAAACCCCACACCTCATAAACAACAAGAGATTAGAAATTAAACAAAACAAAACAAAAAAGAAATTCTAGATTCATTCTGGTTTGCAGGTGGTTGCAGTCACAAAGAGAAATCTTTGAGGATGTTCACTTGGCATGTGTGAAAGATACAGGGCATTTATAGTTGTTTAGTGTTGATGCAGATGGGGCCGAAAGAGTATCAGGTTAGTCTTCCGTGGTTTTTAGACAGGCTGGGATTACTGTCACCCCCCACTCCTGCCACGGCTTCCTTGTGTCACTGCCTTCCTTCCAGATGTCTGCTCAGAAGAGGAGCAGGCTGAGTGGGTGAAAACTAACTAGCACCGAATGCTAGGGCACCCGCCCCCCGGCCCTTTGTTCTTTGTGTATTTCCCCAGCTCTTTCATCTTCAGGGTCCTGGGTGGGCATGGGTCATATGGGGGGGGGGGTCTGGCCAGGCTGGATTTCAATCCTCATTCCACCCCTGGCATGGTGTCTGCTCCCCGGGCAAGTCATGCTACCACCTGAATACTCAGGTCTCCCTTCTGCGAAAGGGAGTTATGTTTCACAAACGTACTCCGAGTTGGATTCTAGGCAGTGAAAGGTGGAAACGGTGGTTACTTAGTGATTTAGGCGAATCCTGTCATAGCGATCTAAATTTCAGCTAAAGCTACGTTCTCGTTTGGACAAGGTATCAGTGTAAAAAGACCCTTGGTCAGAAGCTGCCAGATACACTGTTGAAAGGAGAAAATCCATCAGTCCATTATTCCTCTTTTCCTGTGGGGAGCGCCCCCCTCCAAGAAAAAAAAAAAAGGATTCAGGACATTGGCGATGCTGTCTTAGGTATGACCAATTTGCCTTGGGACAGGAAGATAATGTTAACTGCCACATAGCTAGGCCAGCCAATTGCCACTGCTTTCTTCTGACGAAGAGGAGGCAACCCGGCTAACCCAAGGTGCAGGGAAGACAAGGTGCTTGAGAATTTCTAGCTAGTGACACAAGTGAGAGCGACCCTCCTCGACATGGCAGAAGGAAGCTCTCCCCACTCCGCGGTGCTCTTCCACATTCTCCTTTCCCGACTTCCCACCTTGCAAGCCCACGATTCCCCCGACAGCAGTAGGGCAAAGGCCAGTTATTCGGATCACAGACGTGCTTTTAATTTGGTCCCTGGCGAAAATGCGCATCACCCCTAGTACTTAGTGTTGAAGTAAGGAATTCCATACTGGAGAGATGCTACACGTGTAGCATAGGCTCTTGTAGGGCAGGGATTGCGCCTGATTCATCTCTGAATCCCTCACAGTGTCTAGAAGGTGCCTCATCAACGCTTGCTGACTTGAACCTGAGATCTCTGGGGTCTGCAGTGTGTAAACACCATACCCCTGGTGTCAGCACTGTCCAGGCGTCAGCTCCGAGAACAGATGAGGAGGACTTTGCCATTAAGGGACTCAACAGAAAGTTCTTACTGGGAACCCCTGGGCGGGAAAGGAAGAGCACATTGGAATTAGCACTTTCTATTCTTCAAGCAGGTGAAGGTGTCACCATCCTAAGTCTTACATATTCTTACAGGGTACTACTTTAAAAACAGAGATCCTTGGGGCCAAAGGGAATTGCCTTCCATAATTCAGCTGTAATATTATCTTAACAGAAAGCGCTTGAGTCCTTATACGTGGGTAAAGCGAACAGAATGAGATGCTCTGATCTTAGGAAAGAGCAACATCACTCCCCGGTCTCTGATTTCACAGTCATACAAAGGGCCTCAGTAAAATCTGCCCTTTCTCCCCAGCCCTTTGACTCAATGGCCTTCCCAACACACCAGGTTTTTGGCCGAATCTCTCCAGTTGCCATCCAACATCAGTCATCTTAAAGGCTGGAGAATGAATCAGTGCATGCTGTTCAATGCTCTTGAAAGACACCTGTAGCCTGCTGGGGTCCAGCGGACTTTCACCACTGTTCAAGTGGCCTGAGACCAAACCCTTCCTTCATCATGGGACCCCCTCCAGCCTCGTGCAGCAGGTCCCTGACCTCACTACAAGCCCGGCCTTCTGGAAGGTAGAGTTGGTGGATCAAGTGACAGTGGAGGAGGCTGGCCACCTCTACGAGTCTATCTGCGGTCTGAGAAGAGGCAGACACAGAGCACAACTGAAGGGCCTTGAAGGGCTCCTTGATTCCAGTGTCCTTGACCCACAGTCAATCTGTCTTTCCCTCTGTCCAGGCTGGGGCCTTGTCAGTAAGGCTGGGGGAGAACTCCTGTCTGTGTTCCTCGAAACACGCGCCCCCCCGCCCCCGACTCACTCAGAAATGGCTTGAGAAGACACCCAGGGGTCTGACAGGACCACCCAGAAGCGCCACTGACGGACGGCGGGCACATGTACCCTGCGGGCTGTGAGATGCTCACCCAGCTGAGGAGAGAAAACTAGAGAAACAAGGAGGGCGTGCTTGGTAAGGCAGGTCTAATCTTTTGCATTAAAAGGACCCTCCTTCTGAGACTGGATTCTGAACCTGTATTAGAGTCAATTCCGATGGCTAGAAAAGGAAAAAAACCATCTCGGCGAGCTTTCTAAAAATATGTGTCATCATCAAAAGCACTAAGGGGTGGCCCTTCCCTCGTTTTACAAGACACCATGGACCTTATTTGGAGGTGAAAAAGCGCCACGGATGGGTGAAACACAGCTATGAAAGGAGAGGAGAAAACGGTAATGGATCTGGCGAGTTTCTGTCTGCCCAGGGTGGGCGAACACCGGCAGCGAGTGAGACTGTGTACTCGAGTCCTCCCCTCGCCAGTGCCCTGTGTCCTGTGGGGACCAGGAAACTTTAAAAAAGCCTAGGAATTTTTAAACAGTTAGGCGAGGGCATGAAACTGACCACAAGGTGGCCTTTGGGATGGAGCAGTGTAGACGTTCCTCCTCGCTAGCCTCGACCACCGGCGCTGGAACGGCCAGCCCCCGCTCCTGCACAGTTTCTGAGTTTCTGACCATCAGCACGGAGGGCTCTTTTTGTACTTCCCACCTCGCGGGACCTGCAAGTTAACCCCACAATGCTGGGGCCTGCCGAATAGGGCACACAGCCTTCCAGCTTGATCTTCCGAATTGCGGAAGCACCAAGCCCTGGGGTTCTTATGAGGAGGGACGAAGGGCAGCCGCTGGACCGGCGCTTCTCTCTCTGGAGGACCGCAGCACCTGTGAGGTTGGGGCCTCCCTCCGATCGGTCGCCAGATGCCCGGATGTGGGTTTGATTATTATTACTACTTTTAAAGTCAATTTAATTTTATTTTTTGTGCAGCGCCGCTGCAAAGCACCCAGACCACTGACTCTGTCTGAGTGTCACCAATTCCCAAGACCGTCCGGGAGCCTGGACTCCGCTAAAAGGCATCTGAAGCTCAACAGCAAGGCAGGGAGGGAGGACAGAGGGGAGGCAGGGGAGGAAAGAGCCAGAGAGAGAAAAAGAGAGCTCTCCTTTTCACTTTATCTTTTTTTCAAAGCGTCTTTTTTTTCCCCGCCCGCCAAGACCCAACAGCAACAGGCACAAACCTGGTCCATGGGGCAGGATAAAGAGGAACCTGAAACTCTTTGCATGTGTGTTCTCTTTCCTGACCAGCCGGGCTTGCCGCACTTGGTGAGATTTGCAAAAAATAGATATATATAATAGATATATATTTCCATAGGAAAACAACCTCGGCTGTCTTCCCCTGTATGAATGATGAAAAGTCAAACTGCATGGTCTTAAAAAAAAAAAACCAAAAAACCAAAACGAAAACACCATGAAACTAACAAGAGGCGGACGGGTGAGGGTGAGGAATTACAGATGGAGAGGTTCCAAATGAGGAGGAAACAGGAACTGCGAGTCCCAGGCTCGTGCCCTCGGCCAGAATCCCAGCCCCGCCTTTGCTGGGTGGTTTGTCTAAGGTGCTCTGGGGGCCCTCCCGTGACCGAGACAGGTGACGCTCCCACTTCCGGGTCTCCTCTGGTTCTAGTCTCAGCCCGCCTGCTCGGCTGGCCTCCAGGCCCCGCGCGGGCAGGGGCCCCCGGCTGCTGGCCCGCGGAGGCGGTGGCTTGGCTCCCTCAGCATTCATCTTCTTGGTATATTTGTTCATCCAGCTCCTGAGACTCGAGGTGCTCCAGACGGTCCGTTCGGCCACTCATGATTTCATCCGGGGTTTTCATAAACCTTTGGTAAGGGGAAACGGACGAGCACAGAAGATTACATTTTCCTCCAGTGGCCTTCACCTTGAACCCTTAAACTAAAGGCAAAGGCCCGTCACCTCAAATAGCTGGAGGGCGATTTGAACTCGGCCAGTAACGCTGACTTAGCACAAAGTGCAAGGAGGTGCCCCTTCCCTCTGACTGCCGGGAAAACGGCAGAATAACTATAAAAACGTCTAGGATGGCTGTGAGCTGTGTAGCACATTCCTGCATGACCATATGAGGGAACCCTGGTACAGCTCACTGATCTGTTTTCATAGAGATTTCCCAATGACCTATGGGAGCTGCACATCCACTTCCATCCCAGACCGTGGGCCCGGGGAACCGTATGCAAAGCTTGAATTTAACTCAAAGGATACCGTGAAATGCCGAAGGGAAAATTCTCATAAAAGGGCGAGTTAGTGGTGCTCTTAGAAATTAGGAAGGCAAAAAGAATTATTTTCAGTGTTATCACCGATCCACCCAACACGCTAGCAAGAAATCCCCGTTAGCCTGTCTTCCTCTGCAGCTGGGTGTACATACAGCAAGCCTTAGCTTCTTGTAGGAAACATTATCAGTGACCCGTTAGGAGCATAGTTTCCACGGTTCAGGAAGGTGGCCCGGGTGCAAACGTTCCGCCCTCACTGTGGGAGTGGCCCCTCCACCGCCCCGCTCGGTGCTGCACACCTTCCTCTTCCCAGACGCTCCGCCCTGCGCCCGATCAAGTGTCCTCAAACATGCTCACGCCACGTTCCAAAGCCTGCCATGACCACTTACCAGGTAAGGCCACGGACACCCTCTTCGGCGTGCCCATCTGGGTTCTCTGACACCTCTACCCAGGAGACGCTTGTCCCCCACCGTTTTCGAGCATGAACCCTTTATTCTAGTCTGGCCAGTCTTTTTTCTTATACACATCATGGCCCATCCCTTCCTCCACACCTCATCGGGCACCCCCTGAGCCCTGCTTATTCTTTGCGCCCTGCCTCCTCACCAAAGAGCCACGGAACAGCACCAGTCCACACTGCAATCCTCCTTCCCTCAGTGCCCATAAATCTTGTAAAGACTACCGGCAATTTAACACTTCGTCTGATTGTACACCGGGTTTTATACCAAGGAGCCCTCATTTTGTGGCAAGTCTGGCTTCCACCACTCATTTCCTCAAAAATGACCAACTCTTCTCACTCATGGCACGATCCCGTCCTTTTATGTTGTTGAAAATCACTATTGGAAGCCTGTGAACCTTCCAACTACTTCTGCCCTTTACTGCTAAACCTCTCAAGCAGTAGGATTTGTCACGTCTGCAGTTTGTCTTCTCCTTTCATCCACTAACTAACAATTCTCCTCAACGTCTGAAGTCACTAACCATCTCCCAAGCCCAAATCCACAGATACACTACAGTTGGCCCTCTACCCTACCTCTTTCTTCTCTTGACTACTTTTCCACAATAAGCTTCTGATATTCCATATCAGGCTTGTCAAGAAACATTTACTGAAAGCCTCCATAAGGTATATAAAATAGAATTATATAAAGCGTAATCCTCTCCCTTCTAGGAGAGTTGGCCTAGTTGTGGGGAGAAGGACTTCGTAGGTACAGCTATCGAAAATGCAAATCAGGATGTGGTTTGGGGCCAAGGGAATCCAAGAGATGATGGAAGAAGCTATCTGTGTGCGTTGGAGCGTCATGATGGGCAGGACACTTGAGATGGATGTAGAAGGCATATATATTAAAAAAGCAAAGGTCAGAGGTATATATTTCTGGCAGAGGGAATCATATTAGCATCGCAGGGTAGCTGGCAGTATGCGTGACGAATCTGGAAGGCAGGGGAGTAGACCAGAGGTAGAAAGGATTATTGAATTAATCTAGGTGTGAATCATCGAGTCTAGACAGGGAAGCAATAATAATGCTTTTGCCTTTCTTACATCTTCTGAATTCTCAGGAAAGTGCTGGTCATTGGTAGACTCCAACCTCGAACGTGCTGGTAAGAAATCTTGGGAAATGTGGTTCCCAGGCTTTTCACCCCGGCGACATAGAATGGAGTAGAAATGGTGTGGAAGAGCGAGGGACAATCCGGCACAATGACTGCCCTGGATGTAGGAAGAGTCAACAGTAACTCCAGCATCAAAGTTGGTTGCTTAAAGCAACGTTGGCCCCGCTGATGAGGAAAGGGAGTTCTGGATATGGGGAGGGGAGATTTCTAGTACGTGGAGAAGGTATGGAAGTGGACATGTACTATAAGAAGCTCTTGGAAATTCAGATTTGGAATTCAGGGGGATTCTAGAACTGGATACAAAACCAAGATTGAAGAGTCAAATCATGAAGTCTAACTGAGGCTGTGTAATGGGATCATTTCATCCAGAAAGAACAGGAACTGCGGACTATGTTTAGGGTCAAGGACGAAGAGAAGACGTCAGCAGAGTCAGAGAAGCGAGGGTTCTTTTTTTTTTTTTTACTTCTTTCCATTCTGCTTCCATCTCTTGAATAAGCTTTTCTGTTGTTTTTGAAGAACGCGACTGTTTCCATTCTTCCCAAGTTACCATTACTCCTAAGGCTAAATAAAGCTGAGTTCTCTGCTCTTTCTAATGTCCCAGTGAACGCATCTACTCAAACAGAGTGACACCTGTGATGTGTGTACACATAATTCCAAACCCATCTCTCTAGCCCCACGCAAAACTCTTTCCTGTCCTGTCTGCCAAACCCATAACCTAACGTCATGCTTGTTGATCCCACCTTCTCCCAGCTTTCCCTTGGTCACCCCACGTCCATGACCACCAGTGTCCGTGACCACTGCTTCTACCTCTCCTGATCGGTTCTTTACATTGCTTTCTTCCTCCTTTGGTAATTCTCTCTCCTCTCTGGCATAGTGCTTGGAATTGCAATCTATGTGGTAGGCAAAATGGTTGGAACTCATTAGCTGTGAGGAAGTCTGGAAAGAGGAATGTCTAGTCCAGCAGCTTTCAGACTTTTCTGATTATAATGCACCATAAAAAAGATAATTTGACATCATGACTCAGCACGTACGTACACACACACACACAAACATGACACAAAGTTTTCATGAACCCTCATTTAGTCACTCTTATTTCACGTGATACAGTCTGAAGTTTCAACTCTATTCTACCCTATTCAACTCTGTTCTGTTCCATTGAAAAAAAAAAAAAGAAAAAAGGTGAGCTGACTCATTAAACCTATTTCATGATTCACTAATGGTCAGGACCTGCAGCTGGACACACGCTGGCTCAGAAACCGGCTTCCAAGGGTTGGGAACCCGGAAGTCTAGATTTAATACCTCGCTTTGACTTTGATGGTGTGACCTCGGCAGCCCCTCTCAATGGCGCTGGATGTTAATGTCAGACACTACTATTTGGTCACTGCATTATTTTAACGCGAGTCAGATTCTGCTTACTTCGTTTGGGCTTTGCTATGGGACAGATGTTCAGTTAAAAAACCAAACGAACCCAACTTCTAACCCAGCAACTGGTATCCAGTTTGCAGCAGAGATGGCTCGCCTTGTCAGGCAGGCAGGTGCCCTCCTCCCTCTTATTTAAGGAAAACAATATCCTCCCGAAAGAAGGAAAGGAGAAAAAGGAAGTGCTACCTGAACAAAAGCCTTTGTCCTGGCTCCTTCCTGATAATGTTCAGTTTGTAGTAGTGACGCAGCGCTCGGGACATTTTCTCATAGGTCATGTTTGTTCTGTTCTGTTTGTTCGCAGGAGGAAGAGGGAGAAAAAAAAAAAGCACAAAGACACAGTGAAATAAACCTCAGAACAGGCGCTGGGGAGCTATTAAAATAAAAGCTCTTCGGCCACTCGTGTGGCCCTGCTGGGTGGGGAGAGCTACCTGTTACCCTGCTGTCCCCCCCCACCCCCCGCAACCAGTTCCCACCCCCTCAGCTTTTAGACACTGGCGCCCACGTTTCTCCTCAGGTGAATCACCTTTTGTCGGAAGCTGCGGCTAATAAAACACATCCCGCAGCAGCCTCGCTCGTGGCCTTCCCCAGCCCACGCTCTGCTGCGCTCGGTGAATTCCCTGCAGGTTCCCTACCTGTGGGTCACCCTTCACCTTCTCACCCACAGAGAATTTCTTTCTCTTTTCTTTCTTTCTTTTTTTTTTTTTTTGTTTGGGGTTGTAGGGACCTTTCTCCAACTCGTGTTTCTGGTTTGTCATTTTAAGGAAGAGATTTTTTGTTTGTTTAAATTCTGTCGTAGAAGGAAGAATACAGTGGTTCTGAGCCCTGGGGCTAAGGCACCATCAGGAGCTTGGGCCAGGATTTTCCCTGCATCCGAGAGCAGGGCGGTGGGGCCTTGCCGTATCTGGTCCTGGCCTGCAATTAGTTCTTCCTCAACGGGGCCAGAGACAGGCTGCCCTGTAGCTTGACTGTGCCCCACTCCGTCGCCGTTTGCTCAGTTCATCTGGGGTCGTGCCTATAAGGTGCTTTGCGCACCCTGCCCCACATCTACCTGTCAGTGGTCAGGCCTGGGTCTTGGTAACTCGTTTTTGTTTTGTTAGTAGGAATGCAGATTTACTTATTTAAGGACTTTTTTGGGGGGGACTCTTTGCTCTATTCTTTATTTCTATTCTTTCTATTCTTCTATTCTATTCTATTCTATTCTATTCTAATGTTACTGCAGTAAGAACACTTAAGAAGACATCTACAAGCACATACTATGGTAGTGTCAACTGTAGGTGCAATGTTGTACAGCAGATCTCTAGAACTTACCCATCCTGCCTAAAGGAAACTTTATGCCCATTGATTAGTTCTTCCCCCTCCCTCTCTCTCCCCAACCCCGGGCCACACCATTCCACTCTTCGGTTCACCAAATTTGCCTGTTGTAGCTACTTCGTAAGAGTGGAAACAGGCAGGATTTGTCTTTCTGTGACTGGCTTATTTCACTTAGCAGAATGTCCCCAAGACCCCTCCATGCCGTAGCCTGTGACAGGATTTCTATCCTTTATTAAGGCTGAGTAAGCTTCCGCTGTACGTATACAGCAGTGTTTCCTGATCCAGGCATCCATCAGGCTCGGTTAGGGTGTTCGACCCACTTTTTACCTCTGCGCACTTCAACAGTTTTCCTGACTATAAAAGACTGTAGCTTTTAAATTCGACTCTCTCTTCCTAGGGTGGAAAATTGTGGGGTGGACAGTTCTCGCCTGTTTGCTTTTCAAGGGGACGTCTCAGAGTCAGAATGAGAGCGTTTCCATGTCCAAGGGGGCCTTAGTGGACGTGGGCATTGCTAACTGAGCAGAACAGAAGTGATACCTCCCCAGCTCCCTCGTGAGTCACAGAGTCCCTGTTCCTCAGCTCCTAGCGACACCCAGGCAGCAGTTGCAAACACAGGGGATGGGACGGAGGGCTACTCCCAGTGCAGACCAGGGGGCGTGGAGTTAACTGGCACCCGGCTTAAGTAACACATGGAAAGTGGCATCTTTAATTACGTTCTTCCCTTTCCAACTGTCTAACTGTCTGCCCGGTGAGGAATAAACTGAGTAATGATGGGCACACTTGGAGGGCAGAAGACAGACAATTATCCTCCAACCTGGAGATGAAGGCTTGATTTTGGAATTCGTTTGCACAGTAAATATCTGGTGCCCTTTTACCTTATGGTTTCCCCACAGTCGAGCCAGTCCATTGGGATCCACTATCCGGAATATTTTGGATTCTTTGTCTTCCCATCGGATGAAGTTTTCGTACCGGCTGTCAGAAAGCAACTGATAGACGTAATCCCAAAGCAGTCTACAGTCTACAGAGGAAAAGGGCGAGAAAACACTTTTGAATACGTTTCTTGTTGATGCCCTAAGAAGAAGAACCAGAAAATCATCAAGTAACGGCTTCTGCCCACTGTGGATTGATGGTCTAACTTTCTTCTTTCACAGTGAGGAGACCAGGGCCCGGAGAGATCCGGCAGATGGTGCTGGAGAGAGGCAACCTTTGACCCGTGGAGGCCTCGGAGACCATCCTGGCCAACGGCCTCCCCTCCACAGATGGGAATGCAGTGGCCCGGAAGAGGAAGCAGCCTGTCCAAGGTCATGACCTGAACTTGAGCAGAGCCGTGAAAGACACGGAGCGAGCCAAAAGAGGGGGGTGAAAACAGGCTGGCGGGGACAAAGGGCGGAAAGAGAGCCCCAGTGTTGCAAGTGAGCAGTGTGGTATTCCCAGTGATGCTCCAAGATCGCTCTGGTGTTGGAGGGCGAACGGATACAGACGAGAAGACCGGGGTAGGCTACAAAAGGGCAGAAAAACAAGCAGGACGCATGAAGAGCTGCAGAAAAGAAGACTCTGTGGCTTGCCACGGCTGGGAGCTGTGGCTAGTGCGGTTTTCAAAAAGAAGAGAGATATTCTCACTACGGAATATTCTGGAGCTCTTTAAAATGGGTTTATTGTAACGAAATCAGCGTAGAAAGGAACCTGGGGCAAAAGGTCATCTACCCCATGTGTAGGACCGAAGTTCCGTCACTGGGTCAGGCCGCAAATATTTACTAAGTGGGTTCATACGGGCCAGGTGCTGTGCCAGGCCTCGGCTCTCGGCTGAAACGAGAAGACACATACTGCACAGCTCTCCCTGGTTCTAGTGCCTTCCGGACGTGTGCCGTCATGGGATGCGGTTTGCCCTCCAGCCCCCCTTGATGGGTGGACGGAGGGAGACGTTACTATCTATGAGTGCTTGTGGACTGGCCCCCAGAAGAACGTAAGAGGCTCCAGTTTCCAGGGGTTCACTGTCAACTCTGGGAGCTTTGGTAGGGCCTGAGCCAGAATGGCTGGTCGTGAATGATCAGATTATCCAATGCGGCGTATGTGCTCAGCACGTTACGTGCGTCCTTCCTGACCCTCTGAGGCCTGAGGTGGCCGGGACAGGAATTCCGGGGCCCCTGTGCGATGGTGTGCTGACTTCCTTATGTTGGGTGAGGCCCGGCACACCTGCGCAGCGAGTGTCTAATCGAGACGCGGAGTTAATTTTACAGCCAACACACGCAGAGAACGAAACACACCCTTCTCAGGAGTATATTCACAAGGGGAACTGAGTCAGGTCACGTGGGGCAAGTTTCTTAAATCTCCCTGAGGTCCCATTTCCTCATAGATGAAATGGGAATAAGGCATATTTTACAGGATCACTGAATTAATGAAAACACAAGTGAAGGGAAAGTAATGGAAATAACAACAAGGCCACTTATTGGGCGCTATTAGCAGGCGCTGTGCTGCACTTGACCTTGACGACACCCTATGAGGCAAGTGCTGTTGCTATTCCCATTTCATGGACGAGGAAGCTGGGGCTTAGAGGGCTTGGTAATTTACTCCCAGGGCACAGCTCGTGAGTGACAGGATTCCAGGTTCTGGTTGTCTACTGCTCTTCCTGATGGGTTTTCTATTCTCAGAGAAGCAAGTTAACAGGTAGCTGTCTGTAACATTTTAGGAGTTTCCAGAGCAAGGTTTAGCTCTGTTTAGAGCAGACTTTGTGAAATCCATCCTTTTCTCTCAACAGCCTAAGGAACTGGCATAAAATGTGGCATTTTCTAAGAGGCTTAATTGTTCAGGAAACTGACATTAAACTTGAAATGACCATAACTCTCTTCCTGAAGCCTTTCCCCCTTCCACCCATTATCTGTGTCTAAACATTAATGGGATGTACAAGTTACTGTGTTGCAGAAAAGGACCGACGGTGCTCTTCTTTTACGACACCATGTTCTCCGGGAGTTCGAACCCCATCTGGGGACAGAAATGGCCACTTCTATTACCCACCCTGCCAGCCAGAGGGAGAGAGCAGGGGACCCAATCTGAGGACCATAAGTACCTGGAGAAGTCAGTGTCACACTGAGAAGAATCTAGCTCATATTTTTAAAAAGTTTTTATTTGTTTATTTTGAGAGAGACAGCATACGCAGGGAAGGGGCCGAGAGACAGGGAGAGGGAGAATCGTAAGCAGGCTCTGCCCTGTCAGCACAGAGCCCAGTGCGGGACTCGAACTACTCATGGCCTGAGCAGAAACCAAGAGCCCGGCTCTTAACCGACTGAGCCACCCAGGCGCACGCTCACTTCAAGGCTCTTGTAACAGGACGACTCTGGTTTCTTGGCAATGCCGGGGGTGGGGGGCGAAGGCAAAGTGTCCTAACCCTCCCTGCCATCTTCTTGCCCCGAAACACTCTCACTACCAATGGGAAACGGAGGATTGAGCTGTGGGTTCGGTGTTTGTCCTATCATCCAATGGCAGATACATTTAAATTTCCCCACAGTCTCTTCCAACTGGAAAACATCGGACAAGAACAAATATTATCGCACAGGAGGCCAGTCAATTAGAAGGAACAGCAAAGGGGGATGGGTCTAACTCGTCTCTCGCTTCTCTACACGGGAGAAATCATCTTCACTGCAAAGTGGCTTCGTAGATTCACCTGGACTGGGGACTCGATTCTCTCAGCGTTCATTTTACAAACATTGAATAATAACGGAACCAGCTGATTGTCTTTAATCGTTCGGTCTAAAGAAATTGTGCCCATATGAAAGAGAGCAATATATTGCTAATCCTCTCAGCTCTAGGCCAAGTGGGGCTGAAGAGTAAAGCGAATGGTCTTTCCCTCCCCATCGGCACAAAGATTTTCACTTTGTTTCTGTGGTTTCTGTTTTACGGTTGGGGTACCTTCTATTTCTCGTACAACAGTGCAGGCTGGGCCAGACCCTTGCTCCAAGTAAGGGCTTAACCAGCACTGGGGTCCATGCTGGTTTTTCAGAGGCATCAAGCTTGGATCTTTATGTAAACCATTTACTAAAAAAGATCTAGAGGGGCGCCTGGGTGGCTCAGTCGGTTGAGCATCTGACTCGTGATTTCGGCTTGGGTCGTGGGATCAAGCCTGGTGTTGGACTCTGTCCTGAATATGGAGACTACTTGGGGTTCTCTCTCTCTTTCTCTCTCTCGCTCCCTCCCTCCCTCTCTCTCCTTCTCCCTCTACCCCTTTCCCCCCGCATATGCATTCTCTCTAAAAACATAAATAAATAAGGGGCACCTGGGTGGCTCGGTTGGTTAGACGTCCGACTTCAGCTCAGGTCATGATCTCACAGTCCGTGAGTTTGAGCCCTCCATCGGGCTCTGTGCTGACCGCTCAGAGCCTGCTTTGGATTGTGTGTGTGTGTCTCTCTGCCCCTCCCCCACTCACACTCTGTCTCTCTCCGTCTCTCAAAAATGAATAAACGTTAAAAAAAACCCAAAAAGGCCTAGAATGTCATCTGCTCTTTGGTTGGTAAATGAAGGGCAGGGCTTACTAGAGAACAGACTTCACCTATATGTTTCAAAAACACTGGATTCTTGCAAACTCTTCCCTTTCATAAATGTGAAAATAACCCCAAACATGCTGCTAATTGATCGCTTTAAACAACATTTAATCCAGCAAAGCCAACATTAGCTGAGTAATAAAAATATGTTGACGTTCAAGACATATTGAATTACTCAGTCACTAACGGAGGGAGCAACGGGAATTTTGTGGCATAAAGCAGTTGTTTCAAACTCAGAGTATTAAGTGGCTTTTATAACTCTATTGATTGTTGCATTTCTTTGGTTAAAAATTATTCCAGGTGATAAAAATAAATGCCTGATCATACAAGAGGTTTTTTTTTTCTTTATTCTTCTTCTTCTTTTTTTTTTTTTTAACAATTAAAGTTCAGCCATATGAGTTATTTTGTTTTTAAGATTTCAAGTAATAAAAGGCAGAAGCTTTTAGTTCCCTACATTCTCTGCAGGTTGTTAACACAGTTTCCCTGCAATTTTTAAAAAATTCTTTAAAAAAAATTTTTTTTACATTTATTTATTATTGAGAGACAGAGAGAGACAGAACATGAGCAGGGAAGGGGCAGAGAGAGAGGGAGACACAGAATCCGAAGCAGGCTCCAGGCTCTGAGCTAGCTGTCAGCAGAGAGCTCGACATGGGGCCCGAACTCACGAACCGTGAGATCATGACCTGAGCTGAAGTCGGACACTCAACTGACTGAGCCACCCAGGCGCCCCTCCCTGCAAGTTTTTAGCTCTGTCGAAATCCACATCTGCACAGATACAATGTTCTCTGATCATCAGTGAAAATGCTTAATACTACATAACAAAATTCACCAAACTCTACAAAGAAAAGATTATCTTATAATATAACCCTTGAACAGACATGTGAAAACTATTTATATTACAAAGTGTTCATTAATTCTAAGTGCACTTCTCTTAAACTGAAGGGCCTTCTATATGAAGGCATGTGGGTATTTTAAACAAATGTCCAGTATTTGGATTGCCTCTTGCATGAGAGGAAGTTTATAAAAGGGTTTAGCTCAAGCGGAGAGCCATTTGCTGGTTGCAGAGAGAGCGCTCTCCGTCCTTTCTGCTGGGTGAGATGCCCTGGGTACCCACAGCTAAAAGGCACTGTAAAAACTCCCTTCCTGTGGTTAAGGAGAAATATTTCCACTCCCACGTCTGTCTCTTACCAGAGACTCCATTGTACACGCTCACCGAGCAGAGACTGTAAAAAGATGGGCGATTCACACATAACCAGCATAGTTTCCAATGAGAAAACCATGCGAGACAAAACCGACGTTTCAAAATCTGAGTGGGCAAGTCAAGTCATCGACAAAGGGAATGTTTAATGCCGGTGGTTAATTAACATTTTGGGAAGGCTTCTGAGAAAGTGATTTTATGTTGTTTTACGTGCCCAAATGGAATTTTAAATGAAGGTCTGTAAACGGGAGTTCTGTGGGTATAATCCCCGACTCACCAGATGCTGAG